TTTTTTTTTTTTTTTAATATTTTGAGGTTTTTTCCATTTTCTGCCACTCTATTTGGGGCCTTCTAATGTAATTATTTTCAGAGCAGTTGATAGTGGTAGCTGGGTACCATTTAGTTCTTCTGGTCTCAGGGTTGTGGTGACTGATGTTCCATTAGTTCACTGAACTAGGTGATTCCATGCATTTTTAATTTTCATCACTCTTCTTTCTTCTGTATATAGAGAAACCAATAGTTGTACCTTAGATGGCCACTCATGAGCAGTTAAGATCCCAGACTTTAGTCACCAAAGTAGGATACAGAACACTATCTTTGTGGACTATGTTAAGCCAATTGACCATGATGTCCCCTGAGACTATGGTCCTAACCCCCATGCACAAGAAATCATTGCCTTAAGATGTTTGATAATATCTAAGAAATTTTCATCATTTTTTCCTCTGTATACTCTACCATATTCATAGGTGTGTTTACTGCAAAGGTAAATACCCCATGGCCCAACATTTGCAAAGGACAGGCCTTAAGTGAACAATAACAACAGGGAAGCACTTACTCCTTAGAGCAATCAACCATACATTACTAGGGCAGCACTGCCCTAGGATAAAGCTCAGAAGGCAAGAAGAAATAGGGAAGAATGACAAATAAACATAGTAAACACAGGGGAAAAGTAGAAAGGATGCTGTTATATGGTGGGGATTGCAATTAATGTCACAAAACTTGTACAAATGTTGAAGAGAAATTCAAATTGCTCTGTAAATCTTCACATAAATCACACACACACACAAATGTTTAAGTTAACCAAAACAGCATTGTACATAAGAAATGCCTAAAACAAAATCATTCTAAAATTATTTAAAATACAAGGATGGGCAAAAGTATACCAGGCAAATGCAAAATAGAAAGAAAGCAGAGGTCATAGTCTTATTATCAAACAAGATGGGATTCAAATCTAAAAGCATTAAACAATACAAACAATATTCGCTAAACTAGGATATGCAACAAAATCAGAGGATATGCAATAAAACTAGGATATGCAACAAAATCAGAGAACAAAAGGCCCTTCTAATAATTTGAAATGCAAATGTATCAGTAATTACAAAAATGTAAATGAATTAAATATTTAATAAAAAGTGATGTGGTGATGAAAGGAGATGGGGATAGGTCTCTTGTGATACAATAGTGAATAACTGTTATCAGAACTGACTGTGAAGGTTGGAAATGTAAAGGTAGATGTTTTGTGGCAAAAGGAGGAGAGTAGTTGACTTTGCAGAACAGGAGCAGAGGTCCCTGGAACCATCAAGGGAGAAGAGCTGAGTGCGGGACCCTACCCAGAGAAGCAGTGATGCCAGAGATGGAGGCAGAGATGATGATGTGGAGAGATGAAGCACCTGGGGACTCTAAAACCAGAGAGGGAGAGGGACTGTGTGCTGACGATCAGGGGGCAGGCTTGCAGGGTATACCCTTTGGTTGGCTGATGATGCATGGAGGGTATTGTAACCACAGCAATGAAACAATATATGATAAGATGAATGTAAAGCTAATATTCTCTCATGTAAACTATCACATAATTGACAATAAAACATTAAAAAAAAAAAAAAAAGTGGTGACTTATCCCCAGAGATTGTAATTTAATTGATCTGGGTTATCACCTAGCCTTTGGAAGTTTTTAAAGATCCCCAGATGATTGCAATGGCAGACAAATTTTAGAGCCACTCCTATCACATACAAAATAAACCAATAAAAGTAGTTATTTGTATGCGGAGACTTCAAAAAGTTTGTGGAAAAATTCCATTATCTTTTAATTCCATTTTCCATGAACTTTCTGAAGCACCCTTGTGTGGGGGGGAGGTAGGTAGGAACAGAATGGAGTGAGAGCTAGACCTTTTCCTCTATACTTTTAAATACTACTTCAATTTTTGAATCAAGTAAATATAGTACCTATTGAATTTTTAAAATTCAATTAAATATTAAGAAAACTAAAGTCACTTCCACAATATTAAATTTTATGACATGACTCTTATCCAGGGTCCTAAACTTTCATTACCATCATCATCAAAATAAGTTTATAATTACAAGGGAGCATCAAAAAGTTCACTGGAAAAATTGAATGAAAAGATCATGAATTTTTTCCACACACCAATTTTTTGAAGTCCCTATTGTTTATGCTGAAAGAATTAAGACTTTAAAGTTTACTGTATTTTGGCCACAAACTAAGCATAGTTTATGAGATGATGACTTTGCTGTATTACCTGTCTTTATATACCCAGCAGGAAAGTTTATCACGTGGTGTAGGTGGCTGTCCTTCAAAGTTGCTGATTTTTTCCCAAACATATGTTCCATCTCTTGTTTGTAAATTAACAAAATATAGCTTTTAAAAGAGGAAAACACTATTAGCAGGTAGGGCATTCAATCTTTATCAGAAGAATCTGTCATTCAAAAAACAGTAGCACTACTTTTAATTTTTTTAATAGGTAAAAAATGTTAATTGTAATTAATGCAAATGAGACCTGATTTTAGAAGCAAAAATTATACATAAAGCATGCTGAAATACATGTCTTCCCATCACAGATATCAACTGAATATGTAGTAAATTCTGAAGCAGAAAGACGGAGAAGTGCAAAACTGCTGCATTTTCAAGTTATCTTCAAAAATAAAAATAAAAAATCTTAATACTTTCTACATACATCTTCTCTTTAGAATAATTGTGAGATGAAGTGATACATTAAATACAACATTTTGCTTCACTCTTGAATTAAAAAAATATATATTACTCGATTGCTGTATCCTTTGTCATCATATCCTCCAAAAACGTACAGCTTTCCATTAATGTAAGCACCACAACTTCCTGACATGGAGGTAGGGAGTTCTCCTTCCATTAGGTGCATTGTCCTACAGCAAAAACAACACGGAATCCCTTAACTTTCCAGTACAACAAATCAAAATGCCATTTGAACGCCATGAGTACTTTTTCAGTAAAAATGGTCACTGTCAACCATTGAATTTAAATGTAATGCTAAGCCAATACTGTAAAACTCCAAGAAGATCCAAGGTAAAGACTTTAACCTGCTGAAACAAAATTACAAAAATTTGACATGCTATTAGTAGAATTAAAGCAAAGTCTTCAGAGACAGCATTGGTCTTGAGAAGAATGGTAAAGGACAAAGAAATGAACATGGTGAATTAGTAAGGGAAATAAGGAACCACAGAGAATGAGACAGTAAAGGAAAAAGGAAAGAATAAATGTTGTAGAATGTCCTAAGTATGACAGTTTATCAAAACATTTATAATAAGATCTGAAAATTGGGCATTCTGCAATTTAAAATGACTTACCACAACCCACTATCAATATCATAGGTCCAAATTTCATCATTAGGCAAATACACTTCATTTTCTTCAATAGACTAAAAACATAAAAATATATAAAAATATGCTTATCAATTATAGAGTAAAAATTACATAGCTCATCAGAACAGGAAAACTGCAGTTAAACAAAACACAAAACCACAAACAGACTCAAAGTTGGTTTTGTGTGTTTTTCCCTATATAAAGCTAGACAGGTCAAAAGAGAAGAGAGAAAAGGCATTTTCTAAGAGAAGGTAGGGAAACAAGGTTTAGAATACAAAATATCAAGTTAATGAATTCAAGAAAAAGATATGGGAAATAAAGAAAATGGCATGAACATTTAAATCTTAAAAAGGGATGCCAAGTGAGAGAAAATAGCAAAATAAAAATGATTTTCAGAGTAGAACACTGAAGACTACTAATATAAGGAAGAAAAGGAGTATGAAAAAAGGGAAACAGATTTTAGGTGACGGGAATGAATTAAAGAATGAAAAAATTTAAAGATATCCTTGATTCACAGAACATATTTTTGAGTGTGGCACTGTGGGTTAACACGCCAGACTACAAAGCTGTTTGAACTGCAAGGTCGGCAGTTGAAGCTCTTGGAAACCCTATATAGGGTCGCTATGGGTCGGAACTGACTCGACAGCACTTCCCAACAACTGTGTACCACAAGGAGCTCTGGTAGCATAGTGGTTATAAGTCGAGCTGCTAATCTCAAGGTCAGCAGTTCGAAACCACCAGCAGTTCCATGAGAGAAAGATGAGGCTTTCTGCTCCCATAAAGATTTACAGCCTCAGAAACCCTGTACAGGGTTGCTATTAGATGAAATCAACTGGACAACACACAACAACTATAGGCAAGGTGTTCATTAAGTACTAAATTTAAAGGTTAAACTTAACTAGTAAAAATGAAAACTTGGAATTGAAGTAACTTTTAAAGAAGCTGATAACATAAATAAAATAGTTATGATAAGCCATTTTTAACAGTTATGCTAAAAGAGAAATAAGAACAGTATTAAAAATAACTATCTTATTTAAGTTGCAAAGCTTAGGAGGGGTTAAAGCAAATCCATACATAAAAAGCTGTCATGATTTCTTGGAATTCTAAAAGTAATTCAAAATATGGTTTGTAATAGCAGTTTAAGAATTTGTAAGACTATATGATGCATAAATTAACATTCTAAATCATTTTGGTTTATTTTCTCAGCTATGTTAGTTAAATTTGAAAAATTAGTATCTTGACTACCAGGTGTCTGTCTTCTGTCTATTCTCTAAAACACACACACATACATACACAAACATACATGTAGAAAAATCAATGAATTATATCCAGGGAAATTATCACTCATGTCTGACTGAAAAAGCCAAATTAGATGGCTAAGTAAACAAATAATTTCAAAAAGGGTAATTAATTGCATGAACAAAAAGCCCAAAGTAACTAATACATTCCTGAAAAGCAAAAATAAGATTGAGATACCACACAGTACTTAGACCTCTAATGAAGCTGCTATAATTAGATAGATGGTTCTAATACAAGAATAAATAGACAATGGAACAGAATAAAAAATCTAGAAAATAGATCATATATAAAAATGTAATTTATGACAGATGGGATTTGCAGATCTAATAGGGAAAGGAGGAACTATTTAATACATGGCACAAGGGCAAATGTCTAACCATGTGGAAAATATAATGAAATTGGATCCCTACCTCAAACCAAATAAAAAAAAAACTCCAAGTAAATGAAAGATTTAAAAACAGAAGCTAAAACTGAAAACAACATATGATCTCCACATAAATAACAAGTTCTGAAAGAAGATGCAGAAAGCACAAAGATTAACGAAAAGAGTGATAAACTCAACTACATTAAAATTAAGCACTTCTGTTCAACAAACGACAATCATAAAGGCAGAGCAAAGAAAAGCTATAAACTGAGAAGACGTATTCAACACATATTACTATGGAAGGATTTTTATCTAAAATGTATAAATGGTGGCGGTGGTGTGTCACAGAGTTGGTTTCAACTCACAGCAATCCTGTACTGGGTTTCTGAGGCTATAAGCATTTCTCCTATAGAGCAACTGGTAGATTCAAACAGCTGACCTTGAGGTTAGCAGTCCATCTTGTGATCCACCATGCTACCAGGGCTCCTTGGAGTCCTGGTGTGGCACTGTGGGTTAATACACCAGACCTGCAAAGCCATTTGAACTGTAAGATCAGCGGTTCAAGCTCACCAGCTGCTCCTCGGAAAACCCTATACAGGATCCCTATGGGTCAGAATCGACTTCACAGCACTTAGCAACAATAATAACCAGAGCTCCTAGAATATATATATATATATAGTTCCTACAAATCAGCATAAAAAAGACAATCCAACTAAAAAATTAGTAAGACACACATCAGCATTTTCAAAGAAAACACAAATAGTCTAAAAACGATAAACATATGAAAAGACACGTAACTTTATTGGTAATCAAAAAATGCAAACAAAGCCACAATGAAATATGTCACAATAATTGGATTTGCAAAAAACTAAGGCCAGAAAGAACCAAATGTTAGCAATGATGTGGACCAATAAGGATACCGGTAGGAGTTTATATTTGAAGGTGTACATACTGGGTGACCCAGCACTCTATTCCCTGACATATGCCTTAGAGAAACTTGTGTATGTACAACAGAAGACAGGTATAAGAATGCTCATTACAGTTTTGTTTATATTAGCAACAATAACATTCAAATCTTTATCAAAAGAAAATGAATAAATTGCAGTAAATTCACACAATAGAGTATACAGTATATACATCAAATAAATGAATCCAGGGATGACTTTCCAAAGTATTTACCAACTGGAGAACACAAATACTGGTCTGTGGACAATGAATATGCATTGAGTAAAAATAGTATAGTCATTATAGTGTGTATCTGTGGAATACAAGCAATGCATGAATCTAAAAGACATCATATAGACTAAAAGAAGTCATATTCACACATAAAAATATACACTATAAATCCAAAACAAAGTAATATATTGTTTAGAGATATGTATATGGAAGTGATTAACAAAATAGTCAAGGTTGTGGTAATGTGTGTTGTGGGGAGGATATACTTAGTAAAGAAAACACAGAAAGTTTCTAAAGTACTGTTGTTGTTGTTGTTAAGTGCTGTCAAGTTGGTTCTGATTCATACCAGTCCTGTTTACAGTTTTTGAGGAGAGGCTGGTGAGTTTGAACTGCTTACCTTGCGGTTAGCAGTCCAGTGTTTTTCCTACTCCTCTAATACTAGGTACAGCAAATTTATCTGGGAAGTACACAGGCAAAGGTGTTCACTTTTAAACTATACTTGTTTCACATATTCTTTTGTACCTACATTTCAAATTTGAAAATTAAGAAAATTAAAATTTAAGAAACAAATCTTAAGTAGTTCACTGAATCATTTGGGGGACTGGCGAATCAGCCTCTGATCCATGTAACAAAGAGTAAGGTCTGAAATTAGGGAGCAGCATGGTTAATTTGTGGGAGGTAACTGTTATAATCACTAGTGAGTGCCATACTATAGTTGTAGCAGCACTTATTTACTAAGGAGCTTAATCTTCCTACAAAAGCCAGGAAGCTTGATTTTCCCACAAACTCTATTGCAAGCTAAAATAGAAACCTCTGCAATACTGATTTTTTTTTTTTTTTACATCTTTATTCCAGAATCCAAATCCAGCAAAACGCATCTCATCAACACAGTCCAGGTCACTCACCTGCAAGTGAGGCTGGAAAAGTGCGCCCCTGACATTTAAGTTCTTTTTATTGAGCACCTACAATGAGCTACACAGGAGAGTGCTTCAAAAGTTGCTGAAAAATTCCATTTCTTTTCATTCCATTTTCCATTAACTTTTAGACACATCTTTATAAATTCTTTATAAGAACAAGCAGTTTGTACTCAACTAGGATAAGCACTGGTAACCACAAGGCTGGATGTTCAAGCCCACCAACTTCTCAGTGTGAGAAAAATGAGGTTCAACTCCTCTAAAGATTTACAGCCTGGGAAACCCTATAAAAGTTTTAATCAAAATCTATAAAGGTCAGAATCAACTGAATGGCATTCAATTGTTCTTGTTTATAACCAGTTCTAGACACAGATTAACTGGTAATCAGTGGAATTAACAAGGTAAAAAGAGCAAAGTGGAACTATTATGTTAAGGAAGGTCCCTGGGTGGTATCTGACTATTAACATAAAGGTTGGTGGTTCAAACCCACTTGGTGGTGCCACAAAAGAAAGACTTGGCAATCTGCTTCCATAAAGATTTTTATTAGATGCCACTGAGTGGATTTCAACTCATAGTAACTCCATATGACAAAGCAGAATTGCCTTATAGGGTTTCCTAAACTGTAATCTCAAATCCATCAGCTGCTCCTTGAAAACCCCGTGAAGGGTCTATATTAATCAGAACTGACTTGCTAGGACTTAACAAAAACACCACTTTTAAGGGAGCAGATTAGATTCACTAGCTCTTTCTCTTGTGAAGTTGCCGTAGGGTTCAAATCACCAACCTTTTGGTTGGCAGTCAAGCGTTTTAACCATTGTACCACCAGCCCAGAAAACCCTAAGGGGCAGTTCTACACTGTAATATATGGAGTTACCATGTATCCAAATTGAGTCTGAGGCAACAAGTTTGGTTTTTGTTTTAGTTTATTAGGCTAAGGAGAATACATAATAGGCTTTTGTACATATTGTTACATTTTCCCTCAAAAAGGTTACACCAATTACATCATTAAGGAGGCCTGTTATGGAGCTGTAGGTTAATGCACCAGACTGCAAGGCTGTTTGAACTGCAAGGTTGGCGGTTCAAACTTAACAGCCATTCCTCGGAAACCTTATTCAGGGTCGCTATGAGTCGGAACCAACTCCACAGCACATAACCACCACCACCATGGGTCGGAACCGACTTGATGGCACTTAACAACAACAAGGAGGCCTGGTAGTGGAGTGGATAACAGGTTGAGCTGCTAACTGCAAGGTCAGCAGTTTGAATTTACCAGCCATTCTGTGGGAGAAATGTGAGGCTTTCTGCTCCTGGAAAGATTTTTACAGCCTCGGAAACCCTATAACAGCGTCACAAATGTGCTGGAACTGACTTCTGGCACACAACCACCACCACCACCACAATGTTTGAATAATTTATATTCCCATGCACTTTCCCAAATTCTTTCTATTCTGTGCAAATTTGAGAAGAAAAATCTCATAGTTTTAAACTGAGCTATTTGATTCATATTATACTTGCATTTGTATTTATTCTTTTGTAAATTGTGAATATCCATTGCTTTTTTTCAACGGAAATAGAGGTAGTCACTGACTAAAAGGATATCCAAGTTACAGTAAATTGCTCTTATGACCATCTGGGTGCTTTTTTTAGGTGGGGGAGGGATAATATCTTATCATTAATATGTCCTACATACAGTGTTGCAGCATATAATTTGCTGATTTTATTATTCTGAAACATTCACTCACAGATGCTCAACATTATGATTTATAAAGGTACTGATAATTAAAAAGCAGTAATAAAAAAGTTTAAATGAAAAAATGAGGTATTTAACCTATGTCAGAACTGATGACCAGTACCGTATCATAACTTGAGAACTACTTGTATTAATCTTTATTTTTTATATGACTTATGTCTATCAAAGGCATGCTGGTGGTGCTGTGAATTAAGCATTGGGCTACTAACCCCAAGGTCAGAAGTTCAAAGCTCACCAGTCACTCCTCAGGAGAAAGATGAAGCTGTCTGCTCCCATAAAGATTTACAGTCCTGGAATTTGAACAGACTCGGGGCAGTGGGTTTTTGTCTATCATATACAAGGGAGCTTCAAAAAGTTCATGGAAAAACTCTTAGTTTTCTAAGAACTTTTTGAAGCTTCTTATATACTGCAAATATTTTTCCCAGTTTGTCTTCTGCCTTTTAACGTTACTGTTTAAAAATCCAGTTAATTTTTTTAAGTTTATTTTAATAATCTTTTTCTTTACAGTTTTCCCAACTTGGTTTTTCTTTCGTCCAAATTTTACAATGGTGATTATGTGCTGCCGAGTTGGTTCTCACTCATAGTGACCCTGTATAGGGTTTCTGAGGTTATAAATCTTTATGGGAATAGAAAGCCTTCTCTCTCTTCCAAGGAGCAGCTGTTGGATTCAAACTGTTGACCTTGTGGTAAGAAGCCCAATGTGAAATCGATCATGCCACCAGAGTTCCAATAGTCACTTATATTTTCTTCCAATTATACAGCTTAACTTTTCTACATTTAACACTTCACTTCTAAGGTTTTAATATCATTTTGTTCCAAGTAGTATGCTTGGCTCTGTATCTTTCATTTATTTTCTATTCAATTGTGTTATCTTTACTTGCATCAGGACCACTGATTTAGTTATAATAGTATCTTATGTTTTATTGTCTGACACTGTAAGTCTCACAACCTCATTCTTTTTAATAATTTTATAAATTGATCTGCCTTCCCTTTACATTCATATCCATAACAGATACAACCATAGAAGTAATTAAGTATACTTATGTAGATATTTTGTATAAAAAGCTCAGAGCAAAATGCATTAATATCATGTATATGACAGAGACAAAACTATTCATATTGCTAAAGCCATTTGTTGTAGTTGTTGTTAAGTGCCTTCAAGTCGGAGCCAACCCATAGCGACCCTGTACAGGGTTTCCGAGGGTGTAAAGCCTCATCTTTCTCCCGCGGAGCGGCTGGTAGTTTCGAACCACTGACCTTAAGGTTCGCAGCCTGATTCATAACCACTACACTACCAGAGCTCCTTATGCAAATCATCTGTAAAACATGCTAAGACACTGTATCTTTCCTCTGGATTTTAGGAAAACTCACAACTTTTAAATAGTAGTAGCACTAAATTTTGTATGGCTTTCAGTAATATGGAAAGTTTATGTGAAAACTAAGCAAAAAAGTATTCTGGTACCAATTAGAATATACACTTACTCTTTTTTTGTGTGTGGCATTGCCTCTCTTACCTCTAGAGATAGGGCTGTTTTCAGATACAATGATCTGTAGAATACATTTGACAATAAAACATTAAGTAATTTAGAGAGGTAATTGGGGGGCATTCAAGTTTTAGAATATAAAATGTTTGTTCGTTTTAACACATTGTTTGTGTTAAGGAGGAGGAAAACTGCATGCAACATACTTTCTGGACTGGAATAATCTTAACTGCTGGAATACTTCCAGATTCCAGGGCCTTTTAGATATCTTTTGTTCAGAAGAATTTAAATAAGATCATTGCTGGAAAGATTCTTTCTTTTTCTCATAATATACCATGTTTTCTTTTTTGCTTCCTACTCTCCTCTTTCTCCCTCTTACGCCTTGTTGTTGTTGTGAAGTGCCATCGAGTCGGTTCCGACCCATAGCGACCCTGTACAGGGTTTCCGAGGGTGTAAATCTTTACGGGAGTAGAAAGCCTGCTTATGCCTTAGGCATTGTTTAACTGCAGATGATTCTTGGAATTTGAAAGGCAGTATCTTTCAAATGTGAGTCAGAACTGACTTGATGGCACTTAACAGCAGCAACATCTTTCAATTACGATCTGGAGTTTGTGAGTGGTGCAAGATGCAAACAATTGATGGGCTAGGCTGCTAACTGAAAGGTTGATGGTTGGAGTACACCCAATTGTTCCTCAGAAGAAAGGCCTGGTGATCTACATCCAAAACAACAGCCACTGAAAACCCTATGGAGCACAGTCCTACTCAGACACACATGGATCACCATGAGGAAATCAGCTCCATCACAACTAGTTAGACTCATGGTCTGAACCAGTGCAGGAATTTCCCAGGTGGTTCCTTCAGCACCAGCACTCATTAGCCCAATAAATAGTTAGAAAGTATTTCTATTCAATGACTGCCACTTGAAGAACTGGAATCTTATCAATTATACAGTTTTCATGACTAAAATTAGATGTAAATAATTCAGACATTCCACTTATAGACTCAAGAGGAATTATGTCATGTCACCAGAAATTAGCTTTTTCATACTATTTTAAGTGAAAATTTTTTTCTTCACGTAACTTTTATAATATCAAGAATCAATATTGATGAAGTCTGTATATCATAAGTGGCAAAGCTCAAAAACAAAAATATTTATTCTTCATGCAAGCCTTTTTCATCAAGTGCAAATACATAATGGAAATACTAGATATTAAAAAAGTGTAATTAACTAATATATATATTAGGTTATCAGAGAAGGAAGTAAGTGTAGAGAAATTTTATAAAGATAGATTGCCTCGGCTGCTCTGGAGGTCAAAAGGCATTAAAGTTATTTACTCTGAGTGACTTGAGTTTCCTTATACATCCTGGTGTGGCACTGTGGGTTAATGGCTGGACTGCAAAATCAGTTGTTTGAACCTCAAGGTCAGCGGTTCAAGCTCACCAGGTGCTCCTCGGAAACCTTATACAGGGTTGCTATGGGTCAGAACCAACTTGATGGCACTTAACAACACCACCTACTTTACAGGGTTATTGTAGTATTATATATGACTAGGGATTTGAACGCTCTTAGTTCATAGGAAGTATAGCAGGCATTCAAAAGTTAGTTCTAATTTCCCTTATGTTGTTGTTGCTAAGTGCAATTGAGTAGGCACTTAACAACAACAACATAAGGACCCTGGATAGGGTTTCCAAGGAGAGGCTAGTGAGCTTGAAATGCCGACCTTGAATCAACGACCTTGTTCTAACCGACCTTGCAGTCCAGTGCATTAACTTTCAGTGCCACACCAGGACTCTAAATTTTAATTTGGTGCAGTATAATTTTCCCTGTACTGCAACAAATTAAAAGCAAGCAAACAAACCGGTAACAAAAAAATCCAAGTTGGATCTGAGAATCATTTAACATAGGCAGACTGTACTTTATGTTGGTGAGTTACTCAGTCGTGTTGCAGATCTGTTTTATAAGGGTACAGAGACAGTCAGAAGACCTAGGGAACCCCCAGCTGTAAACTAAAAGAGCTGACATATATTTCTGAGCTACTTTCTAACTTTAGAATCTCATGATTATGAAAACAATGCGCGCGCACACACATTCAAACCTCCATTGTAATAAGACTTTTTTAGCACAATACGTTTTAACATATAGTAGTGAATGTGTCTAGGTACTTGCTTTGTGATTCAAGAAAAAAAATGCAATTACCCATTAATAAAGGAACGTCACTAAAAATTGCTTAGATATATTTAAATGCTTCAGTGATTTCAATCTTTTATTTGGAATAACGCCGTAGGAAATAATAAACAAAAACAAAATAAGAAAAACACGGCCGCTTTAAGTCAGGGTTGCTATTTAAAAGATGATCAGTTAATCGCACAGTACTTACTGACTTTGTATTGGACTAAGTGCAGATTATGAGAATTTTTAAGAGGGGAGGGGAAGAGCCTGAGAACCTGGGCTTGAAGGTTTCCTAGCCGAAGCAACGGCGAAATCGCGTCCAGCCTTAGTAAGGCTGCGAGAGCGGCCTGACAGGCCACCGCCTCCAGATGGTTGTGGGCAGGCTGCAGGCGCGCGTCCGGCCCGCCGCGCCTCTTCCCCTTACCACATAGCCCCCCCACACGTAGAGGAAGTTTCCGTCCACCACAGCGCAATGGCCGCTGCGCTCCTCGGCCACGCAGAACAGCTGCGAGTCCGCCATCTGCGCCGTCGCTGGGCACCTTCTGAGCGACCGGCTTTGCCTCAGCGCCCGACTCCACGCACGAACGGAACGCGTCGAGGGTCTAGATTGGAGGGAAAGCGGAAACAGCGCGTCTGCGCCACCCGCTGCTCGTTCTGGAACCTGAGCCAGAGAAAGCGATGCCTAGTCAGCAAGGTCTTGGCTTCTCCACGGTCTTGCTACTCCATGTTTCTTCTCACTTGGAAATGTGTTGTTTTGAACACTACAGACCTGCTTTATTCATGAAATATTTGGCCTTCTCGTCCATGGGGCTGGTGCTGGTGACATAAATTGATGCTTCCAGGTGGTTTGCCTTTTCTAATTGACCCAGGCAAAGATAATTATTCTTAAGAATTGTGTGTGTGTGTTTAATTAGAAATTAATTTTCTAAAAAGTAGGGCTGAGAATCTACAGCCTTGCAGGCCAAATCTGGTACACTACTGTTCTTGTAGGGCTCATAAGAAAAGAGGGATTCTGGTGTAAGATAAGCTCTGTACTAACCGCAAGGTTGACTTCACACTCCTCAGCAACCCTATAAAGGATGACTATCCTAACCACCTATGGTGTGCCTGACCCAAGCCATGGTATTTCCAATAACTTCATATACATGTGAAAGCTTGACAGTGAATAAGGAAGACCATAGAAGAATTGATGCTTTTCAGTTATGGTGTTGGAGGAGAATATTGAACATACCATGGGCTGCCAAAAAAGCCAAAGATCTGTGTTGGAAGAAGTGCAGCCAGAGTGCTCCTTGGAGGCCAGGATGGCCACACTTGGTCTCTCATACTTCGGACATATTGTCAGGAGGGACCAGTCTCTGGAGAAGGCTATAATGTTTGATAA